AAATATTAAAAAATGAACAAATTACATATATATATATATATATATATATACATACACACACACATACATAATGTACATTTTTTTATTATTATTTTATGTAGTATTTGAAGCAGACGGATGAAATTTATGAAGCTGTGTCACACTTGAATCACGTAATCAGTCCCATATTTCCATTTGTGTGATTTCATAGATTAAATGACTTCACTATTACAGTAAAATGTGGAAATCATGCAGAACGAGTAGGTGTGTGGAAGCTTTGGTACTGTACACCCAACCCAAGGTCCTGATTTAATGCTCCACACAACCTATAATCAAAAACAATCAAGAATCAAAGACTAAACAAGCCTGAAGTACACAAGATCCATCATGATTAGATGAAGTCACAGCACAGAACCACAAATCACCAAAAGCAGCGCTTGTGAGTGTTTACAGTCAGCGGTCCTCTCATTATACTGTCAGCATCTTCAGCTCCAGTCATGTGACATTTGACAGTCCATCCAAACCAGCCTCTCTACAGACAGACTTTAGCATTAGAATTCATCTATCCAGTAATCCATTCATTCATTTCCATATTACTCCAATGCTCTTCAAAGAATAGCACGGCACGTGTCAAAACAACATGGTAGTACTATGGTAATTTGTGCTTTAGACATAAACACAAGCACCTCAGATTACAGTGTGATAAAATATGAACAGGAAGATACAGACACACCGTCTCTCAGTCCCTTAGGCACATGTCGTTTGTAAACAGCAGGACAGTCCCGTGCAGACAGCGGGATGTATAGAGAACGGCAGAGAATGGCGAGAGAAACACTGTAACATTCGAATACTGCAACATTTAAACATTGTAACATTGTAGCGTTGGGACTGCGCGTGCGCGCTTAAGGTGACACAAAAAGTAACAACTGACAGCTGAATAAAGAGCCGAATAAAGACGCTCCTGCGCTTCCTAAACTAGAGATGACCGCTTTAACCAGCAGCTAAACTAGTACTTTCATTCACCCCAGGTGGAGCGCTCTCATTTGACAGCTGGAGTCTTTTATTTTAGGCCTCTGAGAGAGAAATAACCGCATCCTATTGAGCAGCAGAGCTTCAATAACTGCCATCAAACTGAATGGAGAGAGACTTTACCGAGACGGGTTTCACTGAGGGCTCCGGCGCATTGCTGTGGAGGAGCTCGCTGCTTCGGGTGCTACTTTAATCCCGCAGAAAACAGGTAAAAGTCTTTTGATGAGCACGAGCGTGTCCTCGCCTCTCCTCCACTACACTCCCCACAGCGAGAGACTCCAGCCTGCGGAGAGAGTCCGGCGAGAGCGGCGCGCTGGGTCCTAGAGCCCGATATCTCCGACGCTACACTACAGTGACTACACTAATACACTACACTACTACAATACAATACACTGACACTACACTACAATACACTACACTACAATACATTACAATACACTACACTACACTACACTACACTACAATACAATACACTACACTACACTACACTTCAATACACTACACTACACTACAATACACTACAATACACTTCAATACACTACACTACAATACACTACACTACAATACACTTCAATACACTACACTACAATACACTACACTACAATACACTTCAATACACTACACTACAATACACTACACTACAATACACTTCAATACACTACACTACAATACACTACACTACAATACACTTCAATACACTACACTACAATACACTACACTACACTACAATACAATACACTACACTACACTACAATACACTTCAATACAGTACACTACAATACACTACACTACACTACAATACACTACACTACACTACACTACAATACAATACACTACACTACACTACAATACACTACACTACAATACACTTCAATACACTACAATACACTTCAATACACTACACTACAATACACTACACTACACTACAATACATTACACTACACTACACTATAGTACACTACACTACACTAGGCAAGGCAAGGCAAGTTTATTTATATAGGATATTTCGTACACAATGGTAATTCAAAGTGCTTTACATAAAAAAAGTTAAATAATCATAAAAAAATAATCACAACAATGAAACAAGGAAAAACTTTTAAAATGATTTAAATATTGATTTAAAATAAATTTAAAACAGTTACAAATAGTAAATGATTATGCATAAAATAACAGTGCAATCAGTTCGGATGTAGCACAGTGCTCAATCAATAAATGCACAGCTAAACAGATGAGTTTTGAGTCTAGATTTAAATGTGGCTAATGTTTTAGCACATCTGATTCCTTCTGGGAGCTGATTTCAACTGCCAAATAGCATTTAACCCAAAATAGCTAAAAGCAGATTCCCCTTGTTTTGTGTGAACCCTTGGTATTTCTAACTGACTCGAACCTAATGATCTGAGTGGTCTGTTAGGTTTATATTCAGTGAGCATATCTGCAATGTATTTAAGTCCTAGGCCATTGAGTGATTTATAAACGAGTAAAAGTACTTTAAAATCAATCCTAAATATAACTGTAAGCCAGTGTAAGGACCTGAGGACTGGTGTGATATGCTCAGAGTTTCTTGTTCTAGTCAGAATCCTGGCAGCAGCGTTCTGGATGAGCTGCAGCTGTCTAATGGTCTTCTTGTGAAGGCCGGTGAGGAGACCATTACAATAGTCCACCCTGCTGGTGATAAAGGCATGAACAAGTTTCTCCAAGTCTTGACTGGAAACAAAACATCTAATTCTCGCAATGTTTTTGAGATGATAGTATGCTGATTTAGTTACTGCTTTGACATGACTACTGAAACTAAGGTCTGTCTCCAGAATCACACCAAGATTCCTGACTTGATTTT